GCACATAGGACGCGCGAGGGCCGGGCCGGGAGGGGTGACGTTAGGCTCCCCGCGAGACGGGAGTGGGATGTGGGGAGCGCCCTGGGCTCTCACCTTCTTCAGCAGCCCGGCCATGGCGGCACCGCGTTGCTCCCTGGGCAACGGCAATGGCTCCTACCGAGTGGGAGGAGACGCAACGCGCATGCGCCGCGCCTGTCGGATAAGCTTTGACGAGGGCACCGCAGAGGACGCCCGAGTGCGCCTGCGCACGCGGTGCCTTCGGCCTAGAACTAGGCCGGAAGGTGGTTGCTGTCCCTATGCGCAGGCGTAGGGCCTTGGCGGGGCGGGGGGGGCGGGGGGGGGGGGGGGGGCTTGTGTAGCTGTCGGAAGCAGCGAGCCTTGGTCCCATGTGGCTGGTACTGGTCTGTTCTGCGGCAGCTGGGCCTCGGGCTCGCCCTGGAGTCAGACCGGGTTCACATCTTGTGGTTTGTCACCAAATCACCAACAAGTCAAACAAAGATTTTCCCTCCACTGAAGGTTACGTATTCATCTATCTTTTTCTCTCTGTGCAGTTTAACCAGTTCCCCGTTAGCTGCTCCAGCCTTTTCTTCTAGATCCTGCCTACGCCGATGGGTTTGATCTCAGCCATCCAGACTCTCGGGGCGCTTGTGACGGGGGTTTAATCCCCAAGGTTTATTCGATGCCACCTGAAAACTGAAGTGGTGTATTTTTAATTGAAATCCGCCGTTTTCAATTTTCCCAACAATTTTATGGCAGGGGGCCAGATCCTTTTCTTTGGTTTTTGTTTTTTTGTTTTTTTGGTCAGACCTGGAGCCTACCTATGGTTTGGGGGGCCAGCTGCTGGCAGGCCAAGTGGCCCCTGAGCTGTGGAGGGGGTCCTGGTCCTTCCCTCTGTGGCGGTGGCATCCCTGGGGCTGCCCAGGAAGCTGCTAGTGGGCCAGGTGCTGCCCCAGCTGGGGGGCAGCACCTGGCAGATCCCACTTCCCCGAGCCGGGGCAGCACTCGAGCCACTAGCAGCCTGCTCAGGGGGTGCCACCACCACAGAGTGGAGGACCAGGGCCCCCAGCAGCTCAGGGGCCACTTGGCCTGCTGGCAGTTTAACTTCCCCCAGCTGCAGGAGAAGTGGGCAGGCTCCCCCCCCCCCCCCCAAAAAAAAAAAAGGATTGGGGCCCTCACTGCTTCTGTTTAGTTTGCAACAATGCCAAGCCATTTAAAAGTTCCCCCCCCCAAAGTCTTACATGTGTACTTTGTGACACCATTAAGCCACACGTGACATTTTCATCACATGTACATGTGAATAGTGTCACATGTACAAGTACCCTTGTTCTCTTCAGTTTTTTTTCATCTGGTTAGGCTGTTCAGTGTTACCTCTTTCCTTGGCCTCTCAGGCAGACTTCCTAGGCACACTCCTTGAAAGCTGCTCTTTGCAAAAGTGCAGCCTCCATGGACCACTAACTAAGTCTCTGGGATAAGTGGGCCACCCAAATAACTTAAGCCCTCCCTTTTGCAGAGCTCCAGCCCTATGGGTATTCTGGTTTTAAGTTTACCTTTCTAAGGACATGTACTTGAAGCACACAACACACACACTTTACAAAGGCTTTTAGGACAATGACTCAGAACTTTATATTGACAGCAATCATAAATGTATTTTTATATGTGTATATCACTTTTTACGTTTATATAAAAAATTAATAATTATCAACCAATTTCCTCAACACTGTTGCATGGTTTTGGGTGAGGGGAGGGGGAAGGAAGAAAGGGGTTAGTCAGAATCCTCTAACACAAGGGTGAGCAAAATACGGCCTGCGGGCTGAATCTGGCCTGCCACTTGATTATATCCAGCCCCCACGGCACTCTGCATGGGACTGAGCCTGGAATGGCGCAGTAGGGGCAGGAGGAGGAGGAGCTGTTGGAGGCAGAGGGAGCCAAGCAGGCTGGGGCCAGGGCCTGAGTCATGGTAGTGTAGCAAAACCCTCAGTTTTTCTTTCCTTTTTTTTTTTTTTAAATGCATTCCTTCCCCTTCCCCAACCATTTCTGACTTTCTCTCTGCCCGCTCTATCCCTTATAAGTGATTACAAGTAGTACTAGGTAAGCTAAGTTCTTTTATACTATTATTGTAATAAGTCCATTTTTATATACTGTAAATAGTGTTCTGTTATGTTTGTATTGATTTTTACTGTTTTCCTATCATTTGTGCATTGATTTTTATTGTTTCACATTAATATTGTATGGTTTAGGGCTGTGTCTGTAAAGTGATGTCAAGTATCCATTCCCATGTTGTTCCCATCTTGTCCCCATGCCCTGTTGTGTAAGTATGTTGCAATTCTGTAACCTCTCCCATGTAAATTGGTTTTCCTTGAATGCCTGAAACAAAAGAGTGAATGGTTGAGTGGACACAATGATAGCAGGACCCCCTACTAAATCACCCCACCATCAAAACCAATACCTGGACCAATGACCCAGCCCTTGGAACCACCCTCAGCATTCAAGAAACAAAAAATGAGGCAACCCACCATTGTGCTAGGCTGCACATGCTCAGAAAGAACACCTGGAGCCCTCTGGAACAGGACTGACATTGCCTGGACAGGCCCTCCCCATAGGAGATCATAGGTAGTCTGCCACATAAAAAGGGGGAATGAAGATTGACTCCTGGGGACGCCATCTTCACCTGGACCAGACCTGCTCCATGTCACGCTGCCTATCAACCCAGAGGCTCTGCCGGCGACCCCCCTCTGGACAACACCTGCTGGAAAAAGACCCCAACTGGCCATTGAGGACCCCCTCCCAGCCTGGATAGGTAGCTATCACCCCCATCCTCTCTTCAACCAAGGACTTGGACTCTGTTTCTCTTCCCTACCCGGACTCCAGCCCTTCCACTGAGTCTCTTTCTCCTGCTACCATTGTGTGAGTGTGTGTGGGAGTGCTTATGTGAGTGTGTGGGGGAACCAAGCTGTACCGTACAGTGTTCATTTAATAAAACTGTTGTTTGGAACCCTGAGTTAGGTTTTGCTGTACTACAGTTCCGGCCCTGCTCCAATCTCTGCTCCTCCTCCCTCTAACTTCTGTCTCATTTCTCCCTCTCCTGCTTCTGGCTCACCGCCACCTCCAACACCTGTCCCACGCTCCTGTGGCTCCAGCCATCCTGAGTTCCTCTCTGCCTGCAACCCCCTGTTTCTTTATTATTGCGTTATCCCCACTGCCTTTTCCCCTGATCTCTGCCACTGCTATTGCCCCACCCCCACTGCCTTTTCCCTGATCTCTGCTACTGTTATTGCCTTGTCACCACTGCCTTTTTCCCTGATCTCTGCCACTTGCTTTGTAGTTAAGTGCGTACATGTGCAATTGTACACCACACCCTCCTGCCTAACAGCACGATATTGAGATCCTGAGCATTGGCCTGATCCCACAGGGCAACAGTAGGTGTGGGCAGGAGTTCAACACAGGCTGCCCCAGGTAGGAGTGGGCAAGGCTCAGCCCCATGTGGAGTGCAGCCATAGGCCAGATGGGAGGGGAAGGGCAGAACATACCCACACCGCCCAGAGGAGCTCTGCTGCACATACCCCCTGCCCCTCCATTCTTCCTCCTCACTCCCCAACCCCCACACCACCGACACACAGTATACAAGAGATAAGACTTTATTTTGAGCTGTTACACAATCACCCCTATATAAACTACATAAATCAAGACAAAAATTATATTTGAAATAAAATTAAAATATGTTATAGTAGATATTTGATAGTATATGATAGATATTATAGTATATGATTTGTTTTTATTTATAATTTGTTAAAATTATATCTTCCAAAAGATTTCATGTATGTAGCCCCTAACAGCTCACCAAAACTTGTTAATTGGCCTGCCAACCAAAATAATTGCCAAGCCCTGCTTTAAGGTACATAGGCTCCTAATTCTGCACCTACCTTGAGCAAATCAGCTTCCTTCTGCTCTCCATGTGCACTCCCATTGTTACTGGGACTGGGAATCCTTCCTTGCTAATTTCTAGGCCCCTATGTCAGGTAGACAGGAGTCTGTCTTGTCAAGTGAGACTGATAAGTCTCTCACAGCTGGTGATCTGCACCTTACTTACTAATGCATCTGGGCAAAACCAGATAACGAGCCACCGCCTTTAGTCATATCCATATTATTCCCTATTTAAAATGCCAAAGAGGTTTAATAGCCTGTTTACCCAGCTGTTTACCCAGTATGTAGTGAAAGTTGTAAGGCATTAAGATACAGACAGTACATAGAATTTATAAGTAGTACATGAATGCCCCAAATTGTCACATCCTTTAGTAACAGAAAAAATATGTATTTACAATCTAAAGCTGCAATGGGACCATAAATACATGGAAAGTACAGTGAGTCAGTAAAGTATGTACAATAATTATCTGCTAAGAAAGCCTATGTGGTACTGTACCAGTTATTCTCTGTTGTTTCAACAATAAATAAGCTGTTTTTAATGCTGTCTCAATCATTTTCAGTGCACAATAAATTGACAGCACAACAAGGAGGCTAGAACATAGCTTTCTTGCTTTGTTCAGCTGTTTGTCATACTGAATGGCTTCTTTGGAACCTCACCATACTTGTCAAATCACTTTGGCAAAGGTATATCGCTATGAACAAAATTAATTGTTCTTATTGCAGTAAAGTCCAGAAGCCCCAGTTAGATTCAGGGCCTCATGAAGACAAGGGTAACGGAGTTATTGCAAGGATGTCTTAGCTCAGAGAGTTTACAGTCTAATAAAATTAATTTGATCTTTTAAAATGAGGCACAGAAATTGTAAGTTCATAGTCCTAGTTTATAATCTAGGATGAACTACTTATTCCGTTTTGGAAAATCACTCGAATTTGCTTGTGGCTCAGTCACTTGAGCAGAGTTAAAAGAACAGATAACTAGATACTGCAATAATTACGTATGTTTGTGGGTGAATATACATAAGAGAGAGAAAAATCCAGTTTCCTATGCACCCTGTGGCAATGGTTTAACTTGCTAGGCACTAATGTTCCTGTTAGTATTACTCACAGATTCTTAGACTTGTCACCCTGGCTATGATTTTATGTCTCCAGCTTGTATGTCATTTTGAAGTCATTAAATATTGTTAGACAAAGGCTAGGATTGGCTGTCACTGAATCTATAAAACTCAGCATCACATTCGTCTCAGAGAAGTGTTTAATATTTGAAGATATAATATGACAAGGTACACTGCTAGTTTTGAAGAGTAAACTTTTCTTGGTTTTATTTCTT